CTCCCTGAGGCACACCTGCTTCCAGGGTCCCGACTTCGGACAGGTTTGCCCCCGTTCGAACCCTGAACTTCTATTGGCTAGGTATGATCCAAGGAGGTATGTCATCGCCTCGCTGTATCCCATAGAGTTAGTTCATTTTGTAAATGAGTCCTTCATGCCAGACCCTGTCAAATGCTTTACTGACGTCCAGAAATGCTGTTGCCGTATATATTTTTTCGTTATAACCTTTTGTTGTAAATTCAGTATAACGTAGAACTTATAGTTCGCATGAATGTTCGCTTCTGAATCCAAATTCAGCTTCTGGTATTATGCCTAGTGCTTCCGATTCGTCGTTGAGTCTTTTTAATATAACTCTTTCCGCTATCTTGCTTATTGATGATAGTAGGCTGATAGGTCTGTAATTTTGCGGAAAAATGCCATCCTTCCCTGGTTTTTTAATCATGATAATTTGTGCCTCCTTCCATCTATCTGGAAAATATCTTAGTTTGAGCATGTTGTTTACAATGTTCGTTATGTAGACAATAGCTTTGTTGGGTAGATTTTTTAGTGCCCTGTTTGTGATGTTGTCAGGTCCTGGGGCTTTTTTGGCGTTTGTTAGTTTTATTAGCTCTTTTATTTCTTCAGGAGATGTATGTGTTATTCCTACACTGCCGTTTCTTCTATTTAGTCTTCTGGCTGTTCTTTCTACCTCTTCTTCGAAGTCTATGTCTTCATTGGGATTTTCGTTATTTCGACATGCCCTTTCTAGTTCGTCCTTTAGGACTTCAGCTTTGTCTATTTCCGTGTGAACAATCCCGTTCACTCTATGTAAGGGAGGTATGGGTTTCTTGTCCTGTCGGAGGATTTTCGATAATTTCCAGAAGGCGGATTTGTTAGGGTCTAATTCTTGGATATAGTTGTCCCAGTTTTCATTTCTGTGATTTCGTAGTTGTCTTTTAACTTCCCTGTCTAGCTCATTTGCAATCCTTTTATCTTCTAATGTTCTAGTACGATAGGCTCTTCTTCTTTTTCTGTTTTTTTCTTTAATTAAGTCTTGTAGCTCCTGACTTATATCTCCGAATCTTCCTTTTTGTCTTGTGATTGTTTCGGTTTTGGAGCTGGCATCGATAGCATTAAGTTTCTTCTAGTTTGGTTACGCTGTCTTCTTGTTCTGTGATGTTGTTTATTGTTGGAATGTTACCGATGTTTTCGCTCACAATTCTTCTAAAGTTTGGCCAACTTGTTATCTTTCTTTCGTGGGGCTGCGAATAGTTTAGTTCTATTGCACCCAGGGTCAGGACGATTAGATTGTGCGTCGACTCGCCTTCGTTTAGAGAGTGTATCTCGTATTGTTGACCCACGTTGTGTAGGATTGCAATGTCTAGATGTGTAGGGAGTTGTCCGTGAAAACAGGTCGGTTCTGTTGGTCCGATCACGTAGGTGTTTGGTCTATTTTCGAGATGGCCGCAAAGTCGTCTCCCGTTATTGTTGGTCGCTCTATCGAACCAGTTGGAAGATCTCGCATTAAGGTCTCCTATGATTACCGTGGGCTCTTCTGTGTCGAGGATTAGGCTCAAATCTTCATCGAATATCGGTTCGTTAGGTCTGACATAAGCTGACACTATTTTTAGTGTTTCGTTGTTGGCCTTTAGTCTTACTAGCGTGGCTTCCAGTGTGAGCAGTCCACCTGGTGTTGGGATGTGTTCATGTTCTATGCCTTTTTTAACTAGTATGGCTGTTCCTCCTTATCTTGCTCTATGGTCAGTTCTATAGATATCGTAGCCTGGAAATTTGGTTTTCTTCCTTTCCACTAGTTTGGTTTCTTGAAGGGCTACGATATCGAGCTCTAATCTATTTATCATTTCGTCCAAAAGGTTGAGTTTTTGGAAAATTCCACCGGAATTCCAGGACCCTATGCGTAGATCTTCCGTATGGTTCGCTAACATTGTCGATTTATTTCACCGAATGCAGACATCATTTTTGTGGCCCTATCCATCACGGACATCATCTCCATCATTTTCTTATTGTATTCCGTCTGGAATGTGGCAATGAGTGCGGCTGCGTCTTGCATCGTTGGGGCTGCTTGTTCTGGGGTTTTCTTGGCTGCTTTTGCGTAGCTGAAACCCGTTTGGCGCATTTTGGGGCCGTTTCTTTGCTTTTTCCGCACTCATTGCTGAGATGGTTTTCACCACACCTTACACATCTGGAGTCGCAGTGGCAAGCCTTTGAACTGTGGTAATAACCCTGGCAGTTGAAATACTGTAGGGTGTCTTTTGTGGTCTTGATTTCGTCTTCGAAACGAATCTTCATGTAGCACAAGTTTGTTATTTTGCGTATTTTTGTATGTCATCCTCTTTGAGGGTGATCATAAAGAAAGGCAGTATTGGTTTTCCCTCTTTTTTGGAGTACATGTTACTGACTCTAGTTACGTCGACGTCTTTATTTCTCAATTCATTAAGAATAAGTTCGGTGCTTGTGCTCGCCGCTAGCCCTTTTAGGATTACCCTCTTTAATTTGTCGCTGTCTATCGGGTAGGCAACGTACTATACCTTCGGGGTGTGTTCTTCTAGTATTTTGACTACTCCTGGGTAATCTTCCCTAGTTTTGGTGTTAATGACAATAGATCTGCCAGATCTGGCAAACTTATTGTCAGAAACGATACCTTTCTTTGCTGCTTTTTGCAGGATCGCTTGATGTTCTGCGACCGTCTTTAAGATGATCGCAGGAGGTTTGGGTCTCTTAACGTTAACCTTTGCAGGTATCTGAGTGTCAACGATGTTTTCTTTATCAACTTGAGGTTCTTTAGGTACCTCCAAGTTTTTCTGGGCTTTTTCTGCTCACTTCTTTTTTGTATTTCTTTAGCAGCTTTTATGAGCGCTTCATCTTTTCTTTCCTTGATTTTCTGGGTTTGTTTCTCAACAATACTAAGTGCTTTTTTCGGTTTCTCGCTATTGTTGACTGATTTCTCAGTAGCGGTGCCTTTTGTTTTTTCCTTTTTTTGGACTTTTGTCCATCCTGCTTCGCTTTTTTCTTTTTCTCGTATTACCTTCTGTTCTTTTGGCTTTCCTCCGCAACCAGACGTAGAAGGGGCGGCGATTCCCATCCAGGGTGGGCTTCCTGGTCTGGTTATTTCCCAGATGACTTCGTCTCTTCTCTTTTCTTCTAGCTCTTTCCTTTCATTTCTTTTGGTCAGAGCCATTATATGGCCGACCAGCTTCTTGATTTCTTCGTCCTTTGCCTTATTTTCTTTCCTTAACTCAGTCATCTGAGTTAGGAGGTCTTGTATTTGGGCATTTCCCTGTTTTTCTCTTTGACGGCTCTCTTCTTTGAGCAGTCTGATCTGTTCGGTCAGTAGATCTACCGACTTACAGAGCTCATTTTCGTCTTTTTCCTTTGTTCTTTTTCTTTCTTCCTCGTCTTCTGGGGAGTCTGCGGTTAGCCTTTGCCGTTTTTCCTTCCTGTCTACCTCCGGCTCGGCATTAGTTGCGGTGGAGATGATGTCCACTATGGGGGCTATGTCATCGTTTGTTGGGGGCGGGGCTTCAATCGACTCGGTGGCCGGGCTCAGCTCTTCGTCGAGGGTAAATTCCATGGTGGTCGAGACGCTGTCGTCTGTTTCCACCTCGCTTTCGTCTTCTTCGGAATCTTCTTCGTCCGGGATGAACGATTCGTCGTCAGATATCTCTATGATTAACGCGGATTTGGGTTTTAAATTTGAAGTAAATTTATTATATAATTTAATTGCAGATGCAACTGACAGGGTGGGTGACTTGGAATTGTCACCGTCTTCTTTTTCTTGTGATGTCACCTGCGTGACATCAGTTTTTTGGGGGGAGGGATCACTCATAATGCCGTAAGGCAGTGAACATAGGTGTTCAAAAGACTATATGGAATTTGCTACTCTGAAGACTCTGTTTTTGTCTCTTTCCGCCTGGCCGCTGCCTGACGGTTTTCCTGGGTGTCGTCCCAGCAACCTCTCGGTAGTTCTCTCCCTGATTTCTCAGGGAGGGATCCTCTTCAAGTTTCTCTCACCTCAGAAGCAGGGTCCGTTTCTGTTCGACCTAGATTTCAAAACTAGGCCTTACAGTGTCATATCTGTCGACCCACTGAGGTAAACCCGTATTTTTCGCTGACACGAAGCTATTAAAAGCCTCCGCGAAGAGCCTATAAAGGCAACCCCTCGGCGGTTTAACTTAAAAATAGCCCCGCATCCGCTTTTCACTTTGTTGAAGGACAAAGGCCTGTGCAAACTGGGTGTCTTACTCACCCGGAGCTAATAAGCTCCGTTGCTTTAAGGTCGATTGCCCCCACTAAAGCACGCTTCGCTGCTCGTCGCTACGCTCTTCGCTGCACGTCTGTACTGTTGAACCGCTGAGGTCTAACTACTAATGAACACAAATAAAATTACAGAACAGAGACTTTAATCTCCGAGTTCCGAGTCTTGACGAATTGATGCGATTCGCTGCTAACGTTACCGTATATCAAACCCGTTATTCGACGTACGGTAACGGAGCCCGAAAACGTTAAAATCATTTACGTTATTCACATTTCATACTGAGCATGCTTCGCTGTCAAAATAACGTTACCGTATTCTCACGAACTTGATAACTCTCTAATAAGTTGGTCTACTCAAACACCAAAAGTAGTTAGTAAAGCGAACTCTGCTTTATTATTTATCACAAAAGCTTTTCACAGAATATCTCCAGACTTGTTTTTGAAATTCTACAAAAGTTATGTCAGACCTCACCTAGAATTTGCAGTGTCAGTTTGGTCACCCCATTTGCAAAAAGACATTAATTTATTAGAAGGAGTACAACTAAGAGGGACCTAGCTACCTTTTAATTATGGAAGATTAGACTATGAAACCCGACTAAGAAAGCTCAAGTTGTCTCCGTTAACTCTTAGACGAGAAAGATATGATGTCATATCTACTTATAGAATTCTTAGTGAGGATTTTTGGAGGGGGGTGGTAGACTAAGAGGTCATAACTATCAATTGAAAAAGAAGTATTTTAAAACTACCTTAAGGCAAAACTTTTTAGTTAACCGAGTTTTTGATAAATTAAACGGTTTAAGTGATGACATAGTAGAAGCTACTAGTTTAAATAGTTTCAAAAACAAGTTTGATGAAAACCAACAAAATATTGTACCTAGTCTTATGTTAATTATATTGGTTGTATTTTTTTTTTCTTTTGAAAACTTATGTATACTTGGTAATATTTGTATTTTTGTAATTTGCTATTGCCAGAACTTTTTGTAAGTACTAATTATTTTGAAAATTATTTTTATTTTTACTTTGTGAGAAAATTTGATTTATATTATATTATTTAGTTTAGTACATACAAATATTTTGTAATTTGGGCCACATAAGCTCTGCTTTGGCTCGATATCATTATATATTAATAATAATAATAATAATAATAATAATAAACCTCCTAGCAAACATAAAACAACTAGGTCTAAATGAACATCTTTATAAGGCCATGCAGAAAGCTGTACTCCTCGCGACGTCCAGATGTGTACGAAAATTTTTGGGAGATACTCCAACATACCAAGTCACCTAGGACTCGATAACATGGAAAGAGTCCCACCAGAGCTCAATCCTTTTGATACCGTAGGTATCTGGGATGAGTGAATTTTCCCCTTAGAGGGAGTGTGAGCCGTATGGCTAAATCTGGATAATAATAATAATAAAATCCTTTTGATACCGTAGGTATCTGGGATGAGTGAATTTTCCCCTTAGAGGGAGTGTGAGCCGTATGGCTAAATCTGGATAATAATAATGAACATGTCTAAATGAACATCTTTATAAGGCCATGCAGAAAGCTGTACTCCTCGCGACCTCCAGATGTGTACGAAAATTTCTGGGAGATACTCCGACATACCAAGTCACCTAGGGCTCGATAACACGGAAAGAGTCCCACCAGAGCTCAATCCTTTTGATACCGTAGGTATCTGGGATGAGTGAATTTTCCCCTTAGAGGGAGTGTGAGCCGTATGGCTAAATCTGGGATAATAATAATAAAAATAATAATAAGAGGGTAACAGGAATACCTGTCGTGGAACAAAAACTGACACCTGGCAGTAGGTATAAATTGCACACCCATGAAAATGGAGACTAATAATTATTTATGTTTAGGGTCGCTGCCTGGGGATCGCCAGGGCACGTCTGGAGCCGGCGCTGGACGTGACAGCATGCGGGACGTCGGTGGCAGAGTGTTGAGGAGGCGGGCCCCTGTCATACAATCAGCTACAGCCCAACAACAACAACAACCACAAGTGAGCCAAACAACAACAAGAGCTCCACTCGCTGAAGGTGCTGCGCTGGAACATCAGCCGGCGCTCACACAAGCGGGACGACCGAGACAGCGCATGAAATGGACTATGTCTATAAATGAAAACATTTTGCGCTTCTATTACAAGGTGACGAACCTCGGTCGAGAAACGATCGGCTATAGACAACAACTGTATGCCGAATTTTGCAGGGAGTATCCAGAGATTGAAATATCTGAACAGCGAATAGCAGATCAATACCGAGTAATTATAAGAAATAATCTTATCCCAGAGGATAGACGCGCTATCATTAGAAGCGAAGTCGAACGGGAGATTCATAACCAAGAGCTAGTTGTGGATCAAGACCATAATGAAATCCCAAATGAGCAGATTCCTGAGCTTCTTATACAAGACACTCAACCTGTTAATACCCAGCAGGACAACAACGAGTTGCACAATAGCCTGGTAAGAGAAATGGCACGTGCCATACAAGAGTTTAATGGTACAAACCCACTTAGCAGACCACCGCTACCAAAAATAAACTCTTGTAAGAAACTAGGTGCGCTGTTACAAATTATGAACACTGAAGTCCTACCCAATTATATCGTGGAAGCACATACATTAGAATATTTGCATATGCTGATTTACTGTGCAGCAACAGCAATTGCTAATGTTATGGGCATTAAGATCAGAACACGACGGGGAACTAATATCGGAAGGACTGAAAACAGAATTGCACCCTGGGAAAAAAGACTGCTGAGGAAAATTGAATTATTGCGCAGGGATATTGGGCAAATTACGGAATACATCCGAGGAGTAAGAAGTCAAAAACTAATTAAAAGAGCTGAAGAAATTATTCTGAACACTTCAAGACACTCACAACATGATCCAGAAAACACCACAGCTCAACACTGCCTAGACACATTAAAACAAAAACTCTCCGTTTATTCAGGTCGCTTAAGGAGATACAAAGTTAGTAACAACCGTAAATGCGAAAATATACTTTTTGAGAATTCAGAGAAGGCTTTCTATAGGAAATTAAACTTCACTGTAGAAAATGTAAATAAATCCTACCCAAGCCAAGAAGAAATTCATGAGTTTTGAGGAAATCAACTTTCGATGCCAGCTACCCATAACAACAATGCTGGATGGATTGAAGACACGGGGAACAATTGTCAACACTATAGGAATATTCCTTATGAACCTTTCATCACTGAAGAAGTCTTGAACATCATCAAAGATCTTCATAACTGGAAATCTCCTGGACCAGACGGAGTTCAAAACTTCTGGTTAAAGAAGTTTTGGAGTGTTCATGAGCTTTTAACAGTATTTATTAATAATATTATTTCTAATTTACAGGAAATACCATCATTTCTTACTCAGGGAACCACTTATCTAATACCGAAGGATCAAAATAACACCCAAGATCCAGCCAAGTACCGCCCAATTACTTGTCTTCCAACTTTGTACAAATTGGTCACATCCTGTGTGGCCCGGCGTATCTACCAACACTGTGCTCTGAACAATATCATAGAGCCCCAACAGAAAGGATGCGCTAAGGGCTCCATGGGATGCAAAGAACAACTTATTATCGACTCAGTCATTTCTAACCAGGCATACACCAAAAAACGAAACCTGTTTACTGCCTTCATTGACTACAAGAAGGCTTTTGACTCAGTGCCGCATGAATGGCTTATAGATATATTGAAAATATATAAAGTCGATGATAATCTCGTGACCTTTTTGAAGCATATAATGACAAAGTGGAAGACTAAAATTCACCTTCAAATACCTGGTGAAACCAATATCGAAACTGAAGATATCGCTATTAACCGGGGCCTTTTCCAGGGGGACTCGTTGAGTCCACTTTGGTTCTGCCTAGCGATGAACCCACTATCTCAGCTGCTGAACTCCACTGACTCAATATTTAGCATCAAAAATAACAACACTGTTGTGGCGAAGCTTAATCATCTGTTGTATATGGATGATTTGAAACTAATGGCTTCCACTCGAAATCACTTAGATCAGATGCTAAAAACTGTAGAAACTTTCTCAAATGATATCAGTATGCATTTTGGACTAGACAAGTGCCGTATACTAAATATAGTCAGAGGAAAGGTTCAGCCCGGAGGTTTCGATATGCAAGATGGCCAAAACATCGAGGCAATGGGTGAAAATGATATTTACAAATATCTCGGAGTAAAACAGGCGCGGAAAATTGACCATAAACAGATGAAAACTGAACTAACTTCGGAGTTCGTGCGAAGAATAAGACAACTAAATCGGTCATATCTTAATAGTAAAAATTTGTTTAAGGCATTAAATACGTACGCCTGTTCCGCGCTGAGCTATTCATTTGGTATTATAAAGTGGTCAAAAACGGATATAGAGGGTCTTCAGCGGAAAGTAAGAACACTTCTCACAAAGGCGCAAAAACATCATCCACGCAGTGCAGTAGAGAGAACAACATTACCGCGGTATCAAGGAGGAAGAGGACTTATGGATATAGGTGAGCAATTAGATAAACAAATTGCTAATTTAAGATCTTATTTTCAGGTACAGGCTGAGACATCTACTTTACATCGAGCAATTTGCGCAGTAGATGACACAACGCCGCTTAAACTGAGGGAACAAGAAATGCGCACAAACCATCTGACTAAGCAAGAAAAAATGCGCACCTGGATGAGTAAACCTCTGCATGGGCGACATCTCAATGAGATCAACCAAGAATATGTCGACAATACAGCGTCGAACTATTGGTTGACATCAGGAAAGATGTTTCCCGAGACTGAAGGTTTCCTACTTGCCATTCAGGATCAGGTTATTCCAACTAAAAATTACCTTAAATATATTGTTAAAGATCCTCAAGTCCAAAATGACAAATGCCGATATGGATGCCAAGCCCAAGAAACCCTCCAGCATCTTACCGGTGGCTGCCAGGCATTTGTCGGTACTGATTATAAAGAACGCCATGACTCAGTAGGAAAGATTATCCACCAAGAACTAGCTGACAAACTGGGACTTCTCCAAACCGACCATCTTCCTTATTATCAATATGTCCCTGACAGAATGCTTGAAAATGACAACTACAAGCTATACTGGGACCGCACTGTGCTCACAGACCAACCAGTGGCCCATAATAGACCGGATCTCATACTAGTGAATAAAATTACCAGGCAAACAACACTTATTGATGTAGCGATACCTAACACTAACAATTTGCTTGTTAAATACAACGAAAAGATCGCCAAGTATAGAGATCTGGAAATACAAATCAAGAGACAATGGAGAATGGAAAGTACCCAGACAGTACCTATTGTTCTATCTACTACTGGTGTTATCCCCAAAAACCTCCTAGCGAACATAAAACAACTGGGTCTAAGTGAACATCTTTATAAGGCCATGCAGAAAGCTGTACTCCTCGCGACCTCCAGGTGTGTACGAAAATTTCTGGGAGATACTCCGACATACGGAAAGAGTCCCACCAGAGCTCAATCCTTTTGATACCGTAGGTATCTGGGATGAGTGAATTTTCCCCTTAGAGGGAGTGTGAGCCGTATGGCTAAATCTTGGATAATAATAATAATAATAAACCACAGAAGAAGTCTCTAATATCATCAAAGAGCTTCATAACTGGAAATCTCCTGGACCAGATGGTGTTCAAAACTTCTGGCTTAAGAAGTTCTGGAGTGCTCATGAGTGCCTGTCGACATTAATTAATCGTGTTATTTCTAATCCGCAGGAAATACCATCATTCCTAACTCAGGGAACAACTTATTTAATACCGAAGGATCAAAATAACACTCAAGATC